CCGTGATGTCGAGGGCTTCTGGCGAGTGTTGGTTCTTACAAACCAATATTTGTATCAGATGATCTTCACGGCAATCAGGGAAGCCTTTTTGCCTTCGACTAACGTTCAGGCGTTTATCGCGGGGCTTGTATAGTTCTCTCAAAACTGGAGTGAGTTTATCGTTGTGCTTTCCCCCTCCAGAATTTAACTGTAGCGTATAAAGGATCCAAGGAATCAAAGTTCGTCGCATTTCTTCTTCCTACTTGCACGAAAGGAGCGTCAATATTCAAGTTCAAAACAAAAGCCTCTTCGCCTTCGTCCATCGCTTCTCCTTGTCTGCTTGGACCACTTTTGTCAACTTTGTTAGTATCGTAATCCAGTGTACTTGATTCGAAGCTGTTTTCTGCGCCTTCTTCATAGCCTTGAAGAGCGTTAGCCATGTCGAGCGGAGAGGTATATCCTTCGCTTTCGACGGAATCCCGTTCGTCTCCCCGAAAACAGCGATCAAAAGTAATATGATTGAACCGAAAATGTCTCCGACTGTTGTGCATCAATTTAATTACTGTTTTCGGTTTCGAGAGTGGATGGCAAAATTTATGTAGCCTGTTGTGCTAAAATGATTTATCACGTAAGCACTTTGTCAGGGGATTCCCCAATGGTCACGTCTCGGTCCAAAGGGCTTATCCGTTCGCGTATCTGTTGCTCAGATTTCGATTTCTTTCTGCCATGAATGCATCAGAGACTTACTTAATGGATCATGTTTTAGGCTATTGTAGTTTGAAGGACAGTTTGAGTTGATTATCTAACCCTACAAACGTCTTCTAAACTCACTGCCATTCCCCAACCCACCCCGGATGTGTTAAATGTTTTTCCCCAACCACAATGTAACGGAACCAAAACAGAATGAAATCGAGGCATTTTGGCGTGGGAAGGGTTTGAATCTTTTCGACGCGGTCGAAGTTTGCTATTTCTCGTCCATTTGCTTCAAATCACCGCTCATTTTGCACCAATATGCATCAATATGCACCAATATGCACCAATATGCACCAATATGCACCAACACAGCTCATTTTGCACCAATATGGGAAGGTCGAGCACGCTGCACTGTGAAGTTCAATCGCTAGATGACCAGAGTACGATTTTCGATCTAGATGTAAGAAGGGAGAGGGGTAGGGTAAGTGAGGGGATAGCGAATTTATTTATTTATATA